TACCATACTTAGAGTATGGTGTTGAAAACTGGGGAAATACATACAAAAGCTCACTTCAACCATTGTATATATTACAAAAAAGAGCGATAAGAATTGTGCATAAGATGGGGTATAGGGATCACACCAATGGAGCTTTCATACAGTCTAAATTGTTAAAATTTTTTGATTTAGTGGGATATAAGACTGCTGTGTTTATGTATAAAGCCAGGAACAATTTATTACCTGGTGGAATTCAAAAACTATTTAATGAAAGGGAAGGGGGATACAATTTAAGGGGTCAGTTAAATTTAAAAATTCATGCTATACGTACAACCAAAAAAAGATTTTGTATTTCTATAAGTGGGTTAAAACTATGGAATAATTTAAGTGTAGACATAAAAAAATTGTAATAGAATTGACGAGTTTAAACATAAATATAAAGGTATGTGTCAATCAAGATATATGCAAGAACAGGTTTAATGATTAATTAGATGGAACATTGTGGGTGTGGGGTATGAATGTTAGTACTCTGTAATAATTCTTTAGTATATTACTTGTGTGGTGTAGAAGAGAATTATTTACTGCTTGCAAACCAATGATGGTAAGATGATGTCATGGGGTAGGACTGGATAAGTCTGACTTCTTCCTACTCCATTCAAGCATGTACTAGGTATAAGCACATTGATATTGGATTATATGTAAAATTATGTGTTGTCGTCATATCAACTGTTTTACATGCTTCAAAGAATAAATCAAATCAAATTACACTGTTGTACTTCACACTAAAATGTTGAAATAGTCATATAATACCAGCACTTTCAGGCTGACATCAGGCCACGGATAAATACATATCATGTGCTTCTTACAAACAAGAATTGCAGGGATTCACTGTAATGCATCCTTTCCACCTCTTCATATCCCCCAAAGTTATAATGATTACTCACCTAAAGGAGGTGGTTGGCCTCTAATCACTCCATTTTTTTTCCAATCCTCCCATTCACTCACTTCCTTATAAATTAGTTCTACAAATAAAAGAACATAGAAAGGTTCAGTGAGGCAGGAGAAATTAAGAAAAATCACTGATGCATATACACTTTTTCTGTACACTCACAGTGTACTGCATACTATACAGTCCAGACAGCATCATGTTTCTAATTTGGACAGGCTGTGTTAATGTGACCCTTCAAAAATGAGTGAGGGTCATTATCACCTGGCCCGGTTTAGGATGAGCTCATCGTGCTGCACAACTGAAAGTGATATTCACTCACAATCCTAAGTCCACCCGTGCTCCACTGAATCAGGTTGCCCGCAGTGGAAAGCACTAACTGAGAGGCTTTAAAAGGGGATTTCAAGTCATACCATGCACACTCTGGCAACTATAATAAAGATAGAGAACTCCATGGGCAAAGCTGTCTGTAAACAACTATTTCTACACATTCACTGGCTGACCCACAGGATTTCTTTACAGTCTATTTTTGTACTTTCCATGAATAGAAAATAATCATGTCACCACTCATAGGCTGCTGATGATAGAACCAACTGACCATTGCTCTTTAATTGTAAACTAACAGTGAAAAATGAAGTGTTGAGTGGAATTTTGGCTGTCTAACCTTTCCACTCTTCCACTGTGTGCTCCCTCTCATCCAGCTGTTTGTCCGGGAACTTCGGAGGGGGCTGAGAAAGAGAAAATATCATGATTGGCACATTGTTGATAGAAGAACGATGCCGACTTTCCACTTCAAGTGATGGAATCAAAATTTCATGTGACCCATTCATCATGTGCTCCCAAGAACGATCCACCTACCGCTTCCACTTCAGCTGGGTCATACCAAACATTAATGTAGGGGTGCTGCAGGGCCTCATCTACAGAGATGCGCTTGGAGGCATCAATCACCAGCATCTTCGATAAAAGATCTCTAGCTTGGCTTGCTGAGGGAAGAAACAACAAGTAGCTGAGATGCTGTGTTCTTAATTAGAAGTCTACAAATGTCACTTGATGAATGTGTTCTTGATAGTTTAGGTCATGATATGGTAACATAACGCTACCTTTCAGTTTATTGTGATCAGAGTCAGCAGGGAAGAGCACGTCTGGGAAGAGCTTCTCAAAGCTGTATCCAGCATACCGTGGTCTGTTTTCTACATATGTTCTTACTGACTGGTTCAGCTTCATTAGGAAATCCTGAGATGGAGTGCCTAGCTGCTCAATTACCTTGTTCCACTGGTCGATGTCTGAGGTATAAATGTTAAGGAAAAAGGCCGCACAAACACTTGTCACTCCCACACACAGACTGTAACAAAACATTAGGCCACCATGACATTTAACTCTCTTTCAGGTTAACACATCAGCAGCTCACCCACTCACTCCTATTCCTATACACCTAATACATAACTTCTTGTACATATTCCCTCAGAAACTATTGCCCTTTATAGTCTGATTCCCACAATAGGAGGGTGCAGCAGAGCAATGATGGAGGTCATATTTATCAGGAGGAAAACTTGAAAATGAACAGCAAAGTGACAGAGGGAAACTCTCAGAATGGTGTTGAATCTCTTCACACGGTATGAAGTGATGACAGTGATCAATCAATGATGGGGAAGGATACGATCAGTGCCGGGGAACAACACGCTTCCCCTGATCATCTCGGCCACTATGCAGCCCACTGACCATACATCCACTAGAGGTGGACATGCAAACAAAACGGTGAGGAAAAAAAAAAGCCAAAAAACAATAACAACAAACAAAGTCAGAAGAATGCACAGTATGGCAGAGGCGTGATGATGTGTGGAAATTAAAATGGAGGCCATGCAGCATCAGCCAGATGTATGAGAAGGAGCAATGCAGTGTTGAACTTTACAGCCCATGACTGCTAGAAAGCTTCAAATAAGGGATGTTACACTGTTATATTCATTCATATCCTGGCATGATATATATTCAGGGAAACCACAAACGCTTTACAAACACTGTTAAGATTATTAGTAAGACAAAGTAAGGATACAGTCTCTTCCTGGGAAGAGGATTTTATGGCGGACCATTTCTGCCAGTATGCATCCCACAGACCATATGTCCACTAGTAAAGTTGAACATGGTAAACAAAGCCAGTAGGATGTGAGAGGAATGCACAGCAACAGGTTAAGTACATGAGGGAGGCTAGTTAGGGAGCATTTCTTACAGGTTCCCATTATGTAGAGAGCATCATGCAGCTTTCACAGCGTTAGCAGCAAGATTTCTCTCCAGTTCCTTGTATATGCTTTGTGATATATCTACCACATAACATTTAAAAGAAAACTACACTATGGCACACTGCACAGTAACTGCGATTTATTTTTATTCATTGAAATTCACTGCAGGCACAGTGACTACCTGAGCGACAGACACAGCACATACAGTAGATAATCACTAACCATTGGCTTGGTAGCCCATGCCCAGGATAACCTCTGGTGCTCTGTAGTAGCGTGTAACCACATACGGTGTCATCAAGAGGCCTGTGGCAGCTGTCCGAGCCAAGCCGAAGTCCAGAATCTTCAACGTGCAGTCTGACTTGACAACTATGTTACTGGGCTTGAGGTCCTACATGGGAACACAGAGCAATAAGAATTATGTAGAATTTTGTCATTAAGAAGCAAAATGGATCCCACATTACAACATCCCGACCAGCCGAGTTTCGGAAGCAAAGATTATTTATAGCTTCTTGTTCATTACGGTTATTTCCTGAAAATGAATTTTATTTTAATGCTAGTACCAAATGCATCATTATTATTGTAGTATTATAGTTTATTTTCCAGCTGAATCAAGTACTGGCATTTTACACTGCTGATTGTGTTTTATTGGAGACTGGCTGCTTCTTCATTTTAAGTTGGAATAATGTTTTGTTGACGATTTCCCTTAACAGATCATAATACATTTTTTTCAGTAGCTGGTCATTATCAAACTATTATCAGTGATTTCATTTTTAAATCGCCATAATTCCATTTGTTGTGAGACATTTTTCTGATGCTAATGTAGCTTTTATTTTTGTGACTCTCTCTTCATGATGAGGGACAATTGTAAAATCACAGTGGATGCATCCATTTTACACTTGCTTATTACTGATCCATAATGGTCAGAAGTCTGTGCCATCTCACATCACCTTCAAGAAAAGCTCCTAGAAATTCATTGTTTTGTTCAAGGAAACATCAATAAAAATGCTTACTCTGAACCTGTAACTTAGCGGTTTTTAACTGAAATCCTGAAGTACCACTAAATGATATTTTTAGAGGGTTTTGTTGGCAAATAAAGGAATATATTCTTCATGCAGTAGTATGCTATTTGACTGTTTGCCCTTACACTTAAATGTCAAGTATCACAGTAGGTTTAACAGTTGCTCTTCAGGATGCTGGTCTGGCATTAGCCTGTCTAACAGTGTCCAGCTAATTACCCTATGAATGATGCCGGCAGCATGGAGGTGTTTGATACCACACAACATCTGATAGAGCAGATAGGACAGCCTCTCATGGTCGAGCTCCATCTGAATCACCTGGCACAGGTTGGCATCCATCAGCTCCATCACCAAGTACCTGACACAACAGAAACAGTTTACACAACCAGCATTAGAGCAAACACACATGTGGGAATAATTTCAATTTTATGAACAATACATACTGTATGCTCTAAAATAAAAAAAACACACACACAAGTACATCCATACTCCAGTTACTTACACATCTTGGAATTCTTCTAAGGATTTTTGTGGCGTAAATACATTTAATAGTCCAATAATCTGTGGGTACAAATGTATGAATCAGAATTGTGTTGTCATTCAATTTCCATGTCACATTAAAGCATAATTTGAGTTACATAGAGCAGATATTTAATGGTAGATATGCTATTAACATACCACGCCTCCCACTGGTGAAATGTAATTTGGCTGAATACACTGGCACACTTACATTTTTGTGATTGACACATTTCAATAGGACTAGCTCTCTGTACGCCCTCTTGGCATGCGTTTGATTTTGAAATGGCCGACTCAGCTTCTTGATGGCAACATTTCGCTCAAGGACTTGGTCATAAGCAGAGCTGAAAAACACATTTAATGAATAACTTTAAAACATTATCATCATAACAGGCATTAGACATCACCGGCTATAGATCACTACATTAGACTGCTTTTGCAACAGAAAATTTATTCTCTGGTTCTCATGAATGTTCTGATGATATTCTGAAAACAGTGACCCATATTTCACCAAGTACATGAAACACTCACCAGACGATTCCCTGTGCTCCTGAGCCAATGGGTCTTAGATTCTGGTATCGCTTCAGTACTGTAAACGTCGAATCCCCAACATCTAGGCTATAGAACTCTCTTTCTCTCTTGTTTTTGTTCATGGCAAAATCTTCAACTGCTGCCTTCTGTGCATCCAAAAATGTCCTCTGTGTACACAAAGACAGACAAATATCTGAAAATTAGAAAGGAAAATGAAAATCCCTGCTCCTGGAAGAGCAGATTAGGAGTAAAGACGAAAGTGCACTGACAAATTCCACACATGAGGCAAGCACTGCAGGTTCTTATCAACCAACTCAGCAAACATAGCAGGATGGAAGATTTGCTACCATCAGCAGCGGTGGCAGAACAGGCAGACCACTGAGAGGTCTACTCCATCATATGAAACATGACCCTGTCACAGTGGGATACCAAGCCCACTGATAATTACTGTGAGTTTGGACCACAGCCCACCACTCCAACCCAGTTCTACAAGATGTTCTTCCACAGGCACATGTTCACTGAGTCAAGTTGCATCTAAGAGAGCTGTGAGGCCAGATAAGACAACACAGAAATGCCAAACTGTATACCCAGTGTTCCCGAACAAATTTCATCTTGCATTAAAACAAAAAGATTAAAAAAGGAGAAAATCCAAACACCGGCTTCCTTTCCTTTTATTCTGTGCTTATATAAGCACTGTAACCACCCTCCCCGTTCTTCCACTCTCCCGACACACAGCCCATATGAGGGATATAATTGCCAGAATAAGATGCGTCAACTCTCCTTCTGTTCCTCCAACGTCACAAAGACATACATAACATCCGCTTCCCTCAGAACCTGAAAATAGACATGCTTTTTATATTTCATACAGGAAGACAGTTACACTCGTCTCAGTTATGATGGCTTGAATATTATTGCAGTTAACGTGTAAAACTTCCAGGTGGTATGTACAGTTGTGTACTTACAATCTGTTGCTCTGCTGAAAGGCCATTATTGTTTTGTAATAATGGCTATTTTTGAAGATAATTACAATCATATCAATGCAGGGAGAAAATCACATGCTGATAGTTTTGCTGGTTTACCCTAAGTTCCTATTTAGTCAGACTTTTATGCTTGTCCCCGTTATGAAATGACGAGTACTGATGAATATTAACTGCACACTATTAGATTCCAGTTATGCTAATTTATGAAGAACACAGCAGCCACATACAGCTCCTAGGACATCTCGATCTTACCAATGAATCTGAAGGTAGGGAGCTGTAACCTACAAATGCAAAAGCAGGGATACAACCGGGTCATTGCTAGTGTGTACTGCTGTCTAATGACTTTGTTTTCTCTAAACAAGCTGCCTCCACCAAATGATCCTGTGAATGGCTTATGAAGCACACTTAAAGGACATTTCAGGTCACTGCAGGTTAACATATATTATACTATAAATAACACAAAAATGGATTAGTGGGAAACTGTGTCACACTGTTTTATAAACTGATACTCTGTAGCTTTCCTGCCTATGACACACTATAAAATAAAGCCATTCAAACTAGCAGCACACAAAGATCACAACAGTCCAGTGAGCAGAACAATGTATCATAATTTCCATAAATAGAATATAATTTCGTGTTTCACTCATCAATAGATAGGAAATAATCTCAGCCATACTCACTGATGATCTTCTACCTTATGGATAACATATCCTCAGCTGTGTACCCGATCCAAAGCTGAGACAGCTCTCTCCCCCCCCCCCGGTTCAAACATACAAACTGTCAGCAGGGACATCTTCCAGGCACAGATTAACCACAGGGACTAAGTAGAGGACCGCTGTGAACCCGTTCTTCACTTCCATTCAGTGTCAGTAACCTTGGCCGCACGACCCCTAGTCTTGCCTTCTCGGCAGAGGTAAAGCTCTGGCAGGTAAATGATTCCACTGCATCAGAATAAAAGCCGTGCATGCTAAAGCCTCAATACGCCGGGCACAAAAAGACATTATTGCAGTAATAATTACACCCGTACCGTGATATGACAGGGCCTGTTTGTGACACACAGTGCGCAGTATGTGGTGATCGTCTGCTCGCTGTTGCCTCGGTCTTTATGCGAACGTGTCCTACAGTCGCGTTACAATGTAAATATATGAAAAGGGACCATTTTGAGTTGGCAAATAAGGACAGATACAACATATGAACCGCGTCATGCACACAGCGATATGCGACCCTCCCCCCACGGCCAAACAATAAGCACGTCTGAGGAGCAGAGGTGCGAAGCCTCAACTCACCTCAGTCAAATCAGTCAATCGATCAGCTGTGAAATGTTCCGGAGCGGCGGACTGTTTGTTTGAGCCGCGTCTGATGACTGATTTATTCAGCTGTGTGGCTTAAAAATACATATCCTCACCAAATTCACTTGCCTACGTTTCCATCCGGCTGCTGCTGACAGGCCAGGACGCGCAATGGGCACGGGGCATGCGTCCCTGCAGCACGTCACTCATCCACAGAAACACACCCACCACCTCCTCCCCTCTCTCTCTCTCTCTCTCTCTCTCTATCTATCTATCTATCTATCTATCCAAAAACAACTTGTTTTAGCCCACTTCCGCTTGCAATGTGATAAATTAGATGTTATATGTTATTAATGCTCTTTATGTGTGTAGTACGTTGTAGAGGACTGACGCTGGCCTCACTGAAAATACAGACTATAACATGCATGATAATTAGTCTGAGCCCAAGTAGAGATATTGGCCATGTTTCTGTCAAACACTACATAAATGATATTAGGTGAAGTGTATTTCCGACAGGCCTAATGGGCTGATGAAAAATTACAAATAAGCTACACATTCTCCTGCATTATAAATCATATTTTTCTAATTAAATTAGAGTAGTTACCAATAGTTAATTGGTTTAAATGAGTGGTATATCAATACGTTTTTACTGTAAACTAAATATATAAATTGTACATGGTTTTGTTACATTATGATGAATACATGGAGACATAGGCATATTTTAATTACGCTATGATCATTTGGTAAACAGACAAACATTTTTCACTTAGACTAACTCTAATTTGTAGGCTAAGTTAAGAATAGTATGTCAGTAGGCTATAAATTCTCAGTGAGAATATTACTGCCTTTCAAACTGGGTCCAATATAGTATGTCAGTAGGCTATAAATCTTCAGTAGGCTATATTACTGCCTTTCAAACTGGGTCCAATAGACATATAAAAGCCTATTTTATGCTGCACTAAGATATACAGGGTGTATACCCAAAGGCTATCATTTGCATGATCATTGTCATCGGGACAAGCCCATTTGCCATCATCTTTTATCCAGGAGATCTTATTACCACCCCGTTAAAGTGTGGGATCGTTTGTGGACTAGGATGACATGCGGCTCTGCAGAGATCCACAGCATAGTAGGGAGAATACAGTGCCATCAAGAGTTCGTCCAATTGCTGTAGGCTACGATACAACAGCTTAGGTAGCCATGCTCTGCAAAGGCATGTGACTGAATAAGGACATAAAATTGCGTTTACTTGGCGCTGAGCAGTTTAAATTCTCCCTGCATCCACCTGACAGTCCTGGATTGTTATTTATCCTTGTTTGCGCAGATACCCCGGGCCCTGCAGAGACAAGCTGCGCGCAACAGAGCTGGGAAGTGGCATGAATAAACGTCCCAGCACCGACTCCCGCAGGCTACTACGGTTTCTTACCCCTTGTTCGAAGAGAGCCCGCAGTGTTATGATCATAGTGTTGGAGCAGCTCTGCAGCAGCAGGCCTCAGTCCACTCGTTTGGCCGAGGTCATTCGTCCTTCCCAGGCTTCTCTGTAGCGCACCTACCGGGGATCTACCGCACCTTTGGGCGTCACACGGATTAGTTAAATCGGTGTAGTTGATCTCACGCCACCCGCTATTGGTGGCTCTGGCCCGTCGCTGTCAAACCCCGAGGCTAATCCGATGAAGTGTTTAAATGCGAGGAGCTAAGAATAGCACTAATTACTGTAAAAAGTTTCAGGTCGTTCCGCGTGGTGCTGGTCGTGATGGAACAAATGAATGGATGAAGCCTGTGTTGGTAATGTCACTGGTGTATTACCTGGCAGAGCCGAACAGCCTTTACTGAGAGGACGACAAAACAGCAATGCGATGATCACAGGGGTTGTTTTGGATGCGCTGTGGGAGCACTGAGGATAACAGAAAGGATCAGACTGCTGACATACGCTGCTACTAGGTACTGCTTTTTATTTGGTTCTCTTTTAATCATATTCTTCCCATAGTGTTGCTTGTTTGATGAATATAGGTGGGTGTCTTCATTTTCACAGTAGATCAATTATTTCTGCTAATTAAATGAAAAATTCAGATGAAAACTATTTCACTTAGGCACTGGCTTTAATATTCACAGGACTGTAATGAGATTTACCTTATGGAGTCACATAGCCTTCATATCCAGGCCTGTTAAGACAGCATCATCTTGTTACAGGCTGCTTATGAAGTGGCTACATAAACTAGACTCTGACCATAGGAGCATAATGTCCATAAAATCTCATGGTACTTGAATGTGGAAATTGTCACTTTGTATAGATCCTGAAGAAGCATGCTGTCCCAAGTAGCCAAGGCATCCGCACAACCTCCTGTCTGTGTCTACATCATGTGGGTGTCTGGTTAATGAATCCTAGCATGGTCTGTCTATTGTAAGATAAAAGGTATAGTTGATTAAAATCAAAGCCTATTCTGCATTTTGGTTCAAGAAAAGGAGCAAAAATGTCTTTGCAGTGGCAACTGGTGTGTCAAATGGACATGGCTTCAGATTAACGGATACTAAAAATAGCTGGTTCTAGGCAGCGAAGGGCATTGTGCAACTGCATGAGACACCTTTAAAATGTGTTTCTTAAAACTTAATAACCTCATTTTATCTGTCAAGTTAAAATGAGATGTTGTGATTTTGGGGATGCAGATGCTATTGTTTTAAAAGCTAAAGAATAAAAAGACCCTTGTTTGATTTTAATGAGAATGCAGATGAAAAGTGAAAGTTTGATGTTGAGCATAAGAGATCAGATTTAGACCATCCAATCAATACAACCGAATGTACAGGTAGAAAAAGCCATGTTGTATGTGTAACACACATTTCCTTCACAGATTTATCCAGTAAATCCAGCAACACATGACAGTCTGGTGTTGATCCAATGAGCAACCAAGATTTCTCTGTTGGTCCCTGCTGCAGTGTATGGCTTTACAACATTACTCTAACTTTGCACTTACTGGGAGGGAATACAAGCTGATAAAGTTTTGCTCAAGAGTGAGTGGGTGGGAGCACCTGGCAGGGTTCCTGCTTTCCTCCTTAATCCCTCCTACATCCTAACAACAAACCAGCATGCAGGGATACTGTAGGGTGGTTTAATATTTATCACGAATACCACAGTTTCATCACTGATTTAAGTGGCCTTATAACTTCACAATTTTATTGGTGTTTTATTTTTCGCTACTCATGTACTCTAATCTTTTAAGACTTTCCTTGTATTCATTTGACAAACTGGGGCCACAAGCTGAGGATGAGTTCACTTTGAGTGAAGGATTTAATTGTGTCTTAAGTAATTGAGTGGGTTTGTTTCAGGGAAAGCACGTTGCTTTGTTTGGTACATCAACAGCTGTGAGTAGCCTATTGTGTTACTGAAACATTTAGAAACAGGGAGTCACAATAAGAAAAAGCTGATCTGGTGCACTACAGGGCACGGCAGCTGGTTTCATCTATCAGGAACAGCCAGATTCTGTCTTTTTTCTGCCCTTTGAGCTACAAGTTCCATTAGTTGCTATGTAGCTCTGTGCTAGATTTTATACTGTAATTTTCTGTAATGGCAGTTTTAGGTAAAGTTTCCTGGGTGATCATCTAGACAAAATAAGGGTCTGCTCAGATTTATATCTACATAGATCCTTTCATAAAACTTTGGGGAAATATGACAAAAGAGCAAAATAATATACATGCTGTGTAATTCCTCTGTCTGCCAGGCCAGGTTACATGTACTTTTGTCTCCACCTTTTCAACGAGAAAGTTTGGTTTTGTTTTTCCTGTGTAATTCCTCCGTCTGCCAGGCCAGGTTACATGTACTTTCTGTGTAATTCCTCTGTCTGCCAGGCCAGGTTACATGTACTTTTGTCTCCACCTTTTCAACTACATACAGCTGTATTGATGCCTACACAGTAACAGGCCATGATAACAGCAGTAATACCAAAAATGAGAAAAGTGGCCACACACTGAAAGCTGACGTGATATATTTAGAAAGTGTAGCTGACTTTTTTACTCACCGGTCTTCTTCAGGGCAAGTAAGATAAATTACTTGTGGAAAGCAAACAGCAGTAACACCCTCACAGAGCGCTGTAAAGTCAAAGTAGAAATGTGGAGTGAAGGTGATGAGAGACGAAGTTAGAGGATAACAAGCATGACATCCAGGAAAGAAGAACAGCTTCATATAGAGTTGAATTGTTTTCCTGAATGGTGAAAGACATGCATGACCTGTATTAGCCTTAACTGCTGTAGATTTGATATGTATAAAGATGCAAACGACAGAAACTTCTCTTAAGAATATTACCTTGCACCGGGCTCTGCTAAGTGATGTTTTGGGTTTGTACATAAGTGTGTTTGGTATGTATGTATTGTATGTGTGCCCTGTGTGCAGGAATGTGTGCAAAATGAGTAGCACATTTGTTACATTAGCTGAAGTGTTGGAGGCACGAGGGGGACCTCTGCTGGAGGAGGAGGTCTGGTCCCTGCTGCTGGGCACTGCAGAATCATTATTGGATGTCTCCTATAAGGGTAAAGCATTTTCAGTAACACCTCTAATTGTAGGCTCACATACATCATGTTACTGCAGTGTAAAGACAACATAAACCTTTGCATATATCACTCGGTGTGATTTTAGCATAGATCTTTATCGTTATCATCATTATCTAATATGAACTTCCTACTCTTGTTTCAGGTCAAAACAATATGTGCAATATCATAAGCCCCACCTCCTTGCTGCTCTCAGCCACTGGTACCTTAGCATTTAAGAACTGTGGCCTATCAGATGATGTATCCACCTTCACTGCTCCAGAAATGCTTCAGGGCCGTGCCAGCTCAACCAAACCTGCCATAGAGAGGGTCAGTGCATACAGTGCATTTTCACATCTGTCCTAGCTCTTTACATGAAAGGTAATGGCAGACTTGTACTAGACTTTTGACACTCAAGAGTATCAGGTCAGTAACTTTAAACTCTGCAGTGATTAGAACCGATTACAGGTTACTGCTGGCATATCCTGATGCATAAAAATCTCAGCATGTCCTGAATTGAAGGACAACTTAGTTGAAGCCTGCCATCTAGTGGCTGAGCAACTGAACCTCTGCCTTGAATACTGCAACTCAGGGTCCTGATTTATCGGCATCAGTCAGACTATGAAGTAAGTTCCTAAATGATGATGAGAATGTTTGTCCAGGAGAGTTATCAAATACACGTGCTCATGTCTCACACATAGCTTTATGTAATCTTCCCTGATAAATGCATTATACTGGTAATCACAATATGTCCTATGTACAGTATATGACCCACAGATAAACATTTATGTTAAAAAAATCTCTCTTTAAAAGCTGCAAGAAATGCCACCTCTTGTATAATACGAACTAACGTGCTGTGTCTTCGACTGATAGGTATCTCAAACAGATGAGTCTGTTTAAGCAGTAATCAACATAATTACCTTTTGTTAAATCATGCTAAATTTATCATTTTTGAATTTTGAAGACACTCCATGTAAGGTAATTGAAGAAATAAGAGACACGCTATGAAAGTACTTTCTCTTTTTCATCATAGTTTGATCATTATGTCAATCCCTTCTCCTTCTTTTTTGGATGATAATTAACTTCTAGCTCTCTTGCGTGACCACAAGATGTTGTCCAATATGTCGCTATAATCTCACATTTTGCATCCCAAACCCTACACTTTGCCTAGAAATGACCACACATGTTGTTTATGTCATTGGTGGTTGAATGTAACAATAATAGGAACAATTGATAGGGTGTTAGTTATGGTGCAAGGGTTGAATTAAATGAAATCAGAAAAAAACATTCATGTATCATTAAGCACAAATACATGTAATTCATGTATGTGCAAGCAAACCTGGTTCATTTAGTTGGTAATGTTTCATTATATATGTCCAGTCTGTCTTGTCCTTACCTTGTTCATTTTGTCACACAGATGCTGGTGTATTCACTGGGTATGACTCTCTACTGGTCCGTTGATTTTCACCTACCTCAAAATCAGGTGACAAGTCCTGATACAAAGCTGTAACCTTCATTTTCAGTGCCATCACAGTGCCACACCTCTGTTCTATAAGTGTTTTCCTCTCTCATTCCTCCCAGCCAGTCCAGTTGAGTGACCATCTAAACAGCCTCCTTCTGAGCATGTGTGAGGACCTGGCCCACCGCAGGGTGAATCTCATCTCCATCCTGGAAGCCTGTGAATCTCAGCATAAAGCCTCCATCCTGCCGCCACTTGCTAAAGTCATGAGACAGCTGGTGGAAGAGGTTTTTCATGAATCAGTGAGTGTAGTTATCTATAGTATGTTCCTGTCTGCAAGCATTTCAGCTTCTCTGCAGGCCAGTGTGTATGTGTCAGAATTTAAACGGTACCTGCATAATAATCTGTACAATGACAAAAAAAAGTTGCAAATAGTTGTGTTTTCTTTACCCTCTAGGTGGACCATGGCTCCCTGCCAGACAGTAACGTTCCATTAAGTGGCAGGAGCCAGATGATCAGAGAGAGACTTCATGGTGAGCATGATTTCATTTCTGATTCTGGCATTTTTGGAAACATATATCAAAATATATGCATTCCTTTGCTTTTATTCTTTTTTGGTATCATACATTAATTTGACCTTTAACATTTTGTCACCTACATGCTTAAAGAAAATACATGCAGTCAATGTTCTTTTGACTCAAGACAGTGTACATGCCAGCAGGATTAAGATCTTAGTCTAAAGTGAGACCAGGATTAGGCTACCATGAGAGCCAATAATCAGATACTGGGTTTGGATGTGCCAGGCTAAACCCTCTTAGTTCTGCTCAAATATCTCAGTGTCTCCAGGGGGCACAGAGATGGGAGTCAGGCATTGCTGTCATCTTTCATCTTGTACATGGTTAACAGGGAGGAGAGGGCATTTTTCAGATTTCAGTGAAGGGAGTGCTGAAGGGAGAAGATACTCAACGGACTCTGACTCAAAGTCAGGTAAGCATCAGATGCAGATGAAACCAAAAGTGAAAAGAGGTAAAAACTGAACTTAACTGCTGCCAAAATATTTTGTCTCATGCTTGTCAAAATTCTTAACTTCCATTTAAGAAAATGTTAAATAAATACAAAATTGTCATCAATCACTTTTCTGTGTTTTCCTGGACTAAGATGTTTATTCTGACAGTGCAAGCTCTCATTTTTGTGTCCTAGGGAGTTTACCTCAGAGACCTTGGAGACAAAGACCAAGGAGCTCTCCAACTCCATTGTACCAGTCTTCTATAGACAGGTATGCACTACATGTATGCATGCATTCACACCATCACTACAGATATTCTTATGCTCCCTCACTGTCTGCACCTGATTTTTAGGAGACATAACATTGTCTCGAAGTTTGAGTATACAACCTGGCTGCACAACTATTATGCCACCCACCTTCCCCACCCCTCTCTCTCCCCTCAGACTCCCTCCTGGGGTTCATCACAGGGACAGCAACTGCAGCTGGCTTGGTAGGAGCCCCCGCCACGATGTCTCTGCCAAGACATCGGGCAGATCTCACAGTCCTTCAATCACCTTCAGCGAGTCCTCACTCAGCCTGAGCCAGAGGAAGGCTAAGGTATCTTTTTCACAGTATCATATTGTAGGGATATTGTATACAATATTTAGTTGAATGAGAATGACAATGAACTTTGGAGTATTTTGTGCAGACAGCAGAGCACAAAAGCCTGCCACGAGTGTGAGTTTATATCACTAATATTTGTTTTGTCAGGCTTTGGGTCCTGAGTTCATCAGAATGCCAGATGAGCAACAAATTGTTCTTGAGCTTCCAGGATCTCTTGTGGTAAATTTATAATTGCTGTTCACGTCCTCTGTTTTTATCAGCTTTTAATGTAAATTGCTGTTTCCACAGTGATTTAGCTTTTCTTTCATGCTGTACTTTCTCTGTTTGCATAATTGCATGTATAGTATTTTCTATATTTATGTACATGTTCGTGAGTGTGTCTTTAGGTTTTTTCTTTTTATGTCCACATGTGTCTATGTTTTTGTGTGTGCACAACACAGACCAGAAAGGGCCGTTCATGTTCATCTCACAGAGAAGTGGCTGTAGTGCTGCCTAACGGACAGTACGTGGTGGTTCGCTGTGACATTAGGTCCAGAGCAAGAGATGTGTTTGACATGGTGGTGGCTCACGCAAACTTGGTGGAGCACTTCTACTTTGGTCTTGCCTTTCTAGATGGTAAAATCAAATAATAACAATAGAATTTCAAAATATACATAGTCCACCTTGTGATATTATGCCTTAACAATTGGAATGATGGGTGAAGTTGTGATAATATTTCAGACATTAACAAATATTTTTATTAAAACAAAAACTCTGAAATACAGTTGAATTTATTTCTTAATGCTTGTTTTGTTGTTTCAGTCACATCAGAAGTTTGAGGTTCATGATGCTTTTTTTGTCACTCTGTAGACGATGAATATTTCTTTTTGGACCATGAAACAAAAATCTCCAAAGTTGCACCTGACAGTTGGAGAAAAGGGCATATATCATCCTTTTTGGTGTTTCTCCGAATCAGATTTTTTGTTAATGACATCGCTTTCATTTTGTAAGTAATGTTTCACAAATAAATTCATTTATGCATATACAGTTCAAAAAAACTTAGCTGCTTTTTTACTTAATCATCTTTTCTGTTTCCTAGACACAGACTGACTCGTCACCAGTACTACCTACAGCTACGGAAGGATATCTTGGAGGACAGGATTTACTGTAACGAAGAGACAGGCTTGTTTCTGGCTGCTCTTGCTCTGCAGGCTGAGTTTGGAGATTATATGCCAGAGGTACAGAGGTCAAAAAGGAAAACGGTTAACCTTAAGTCTCATCTTTCAGCATCATCTTTCAGTGTGTGTCACAATAGGGCATTTGATTCTTGTGTGTGTGTGTTTTTTTTAGTTGTATGGGAAGAATTATTACCAGCCAGAGCATTATGTGTCCAAGAGGATGTTAGAGAAGTTGGCCCTGCCCAGTGTCAAGGAGGAGTTGCCAAGACTTCATGCAAGTAATGCTCAGATGCTGCCTGAAGAGGCAGAAACAGAGTACTTAAAGGTAGGATTAATGCAGCTACTCACACACAAAAACACACAGATTCCGTTATCTAGTGGTTCACTTTGTCTTTTGGTTATTTTTTCACTTCTAAATATGCTAAATTACTAAGGCTAGGTTTTTATTTGATTTTGATTTGATGATACCTCTACTGTTGTAGAGTATAAGTGAGTGATAAACAAATCACTATCATTTAAAATGTAATGCTCTGTGCTCAGAGGAATTGGTGTGTTCTGTAAGAATTTCTCCAGCAAAAACACACAATTTTAAAAATATGTACCCCTCAGATTGCCCAGCAGTTACCTGAGTATGGAGTTATGTTCCATCGTGTGGAGAGAGACAAGAAGCCAGCGGTGGGAGAGTTGGTTCTGGGAGTCTGTGCCAAAGGAATTATTGTGTACGAGACAAAGAACGACCTCCGGACTGTCAGCAGACGTTTCCTCTGGAGGGAAACTGACTCCATATCCACTGGGGTAAAAAGAAAAAGTGGCATTTCACTCAGACTTTGCTCTATAAAATACAACACTGTACAGCCCATTTTGAATAATATATGGTGGTTTGGGTCTGTCTTCCAGCGGCGTAAACTCATTATAGAGTGTGGTGGGCCCAGTGGAAAGAAGCACAGTTTTGTAACAGAAAGTTCAAAAATAGCACAGTATCTCCTAAACCTCTGCTCGGCACAGCACAAGTTTCACAGTGAGATGACGTCACGGCAACTTAACCATACCATGATACCAGGTGTGAAAGTTTTTGATGCATAGTGAAAGAAAGCACCTTACATAGTTTATAGCTGGTAGCGATAAAGACTAAATAACTCCTGTGTTTCTGCAGATGAAAATATGGATAAGTACATGTCTGTTTACCGGGGTCGCAATTTGATCCTGAAGCAGATGTCCTGCTCAGAGGGCATGTTGAACCATGTAGGTCTGACAGCCGGTCAACCAGACTCCCTCTCCAAGTCATGTGATGACCTGACTGCCAAACTGGAGGCTCGGCTCCGCCAGCAGAGAGAGATGAGGAGAGAGCTGAACAGGCAGGTCCCTGAAACAGCAGACGTGAAAGATCGACCGTGTTGGAGGTAGCCCTCCATGATGCTAAGATTCATATTGTTAGCACAGAAAAAAGCATAACAATTTAGCTAAATGCAACTTTCCACACACGTTGTAGCACTCCAGAGTCGATCCTGAGAAGGATGTCTAATGTCTCACTACAGAAGCAGGACTCGGACACATCTTCCTCCATACGAGGTGAATAAGTCAACTACTGAAACTTAGCTCCCTCTTGCCAGCACATACAGAAGGGTGACTCATTAAAGAAAAAACCAACATTAACTGTCGAAGTAGCTTTAATCCTCTCACGTAGAAGTAAATGGTGTTATCATATTATCATACAAGCCATTCAAGGATCCCTTATGCCGTATAAGGACATGTACATTTTTTCAGACCTTTAATTTGTAACTCATCTGCATGTTCAAATTAGGCTCCCTGTCACCTCACAATTTGAACAGTCCTAGTTGTGGCCCTGATCCAACCAGCAGAGGGCTTTCTGTGTGGCGTTTATACTGTATGTGGTTGTTTCTTATTCCACAATCCAAAAATATGCAGATTAGGATGATTTGGAAATTCTAAATTATCCATAGATGTGAATATGTGATTATGTGAATTAATCCTGTACTAGACATTTGATCTGCCTGTGCCCCTGAACACGATAACCAGGTGTAGAAAATCTATAAATACATTTGGTTGGTCAGTTTAAAATACGTAAAACATGTGCTTTGCAGTTGATACACCAAGAACTCCACCAGAGAGGGAGATAATCTGTGTGACCTTGAGGAAAGATCCCAAACTGGGCTTTGGTAAGTTTTTTTTAGAATTTGCTGTGAGCTTGATGTAAAATTTAAGAACACATCTGGCTCTTTAACAGGGGGCTTTTCCCTTTACTGTTTCAGGCTTTGTGATAGTTGGAGAGGACAATACAGGTAAACTGGACCTTGGGATCTTCATTGCTTCTATTGTGCCTGATGGGCCCGCAGACAGAGATGGACGAATCAAACCCGGTACAGAGCAGCACCAACAAATGAGAACTAGAAACACAGAAGCATTGCCAGAGACAGAAACAAAACCTGGCTGCACACGGTAGCCTATAACAAGGATTTTGTAATGATTTGTTGATTTTCCAGGCGGACGTCTCATCTCCCTAAACAAGACTAGCTTGGAAGGAGTGACATTCAGTGATGCTGCAGCCATCTTACAGAGCAGCCCTGAAGAGGTGGAGCTCATCGTGTCCCAGCCAAAATGTAAGATCTGCTTAACTGTTTTTTCTCTACATACTTAGTCTGAGAAGTTCAGTCACACAACTATTCATGAAGTCACACAGCTTACTATGAACAACAGTGACACTTAATACAACCTGTGTATGTACTGAGGTCTTTCATACTATCTATCAGATTCTCTAAAGGACAGCAAGAGTTCCATGAGTCAAAGCACTCTGGGTTTGGCGATGGAGAGGAGCTTTGGCTCACAGACCACCCTGAGTGGCACAGGTCCTGCCATGGAGGAACTGGAGGAGGTCATCACTCTGTCCAACATGGCAACCCCAAAACAGAGCAGGAGACTTCACATTCCTGTTGTGCGAATACACGATACGCAGGTTAGAACCAGCAGTCAGCTACCAGTGACTTTGTTGCCTTGGAAGTTATACTAATTGTTAAATAGGCTCCGATTCTTTGCCATCAGAATTGTGTTAAAAACAATCCCCATCTGCACCTTATTTATTCCTTTCTCAGTCTAAGTCTTGCTCTTTCTCAGGATGCATGTTCCAGGTCACCCTCTTTCTTAGGTTTGAAGACTGGGGAGCGGTTTACATTGGAGCTGAAGAAAAGCAATGGTAGTCTTGGCATCAGTGTTACTGTGAGTGAATATTCTGTTATCCAACATTTACCTTGTTTTTCCATTTCTTTGTCTCTATAGGAGGTTAGGTTAGTTTTGATCATTGTCATCATTATTCTTTTCCTTATGCCATGTTGGCCTATGGAAATCCAAGTAAACAGTGGCAAGAACTAAGTGACATTACTGCCTATGTTAGATCAGCTCAGCCAAACCAATTTACAATACTACACGGGAAAAGACAATAGATTGCAAGCTACAATACACAGCAACTGGGATGCCTGCACACTGAGTCAGTATGACTTGTTAGAGTGACTTGAGGCCTGTGACACTGACTAATTGCTTTGTTTCTTTGTAATCTTTTTTGCCAAAAGGGAGGAATAAACACTAATGCTCGATATGGAGGCATCTACATCAAGACTCTGGTGCCTGGAGGTGCAGCAGAGCAGGATGGGCGCATTCAGATGGGTATCTTTTTATTTGTTATTTCGATGTGTGATTAGGTGGCTACCAAAAACACTATATGTTTGAATTTGTGTAGAATGTTCACTCTACTTCAGATTAAGTAGGTGAAAATAGCAGCAAAAATCATTGTCATTGCTTTTCAAGTTTTATTCTATTGCCTTTGCATCATATGGAGAAGGATATGATGACAACAGTGAATTATATTCCACATTTGTCACAGACCTCACACTTGTTAACTTTGGGAAGATTGTTCAAAAAGAATTTTTTATGAATTCCCTAAACAATCCTTTAAAAATCCCTTTTTATTTTGTCTGTTCCTTGTATATGAATGTGCCACTGGGACATTGTGCAGTGTCTTTATCCACTTGGTTTATGCTTCAGTGAACAAAAACAACTTTTAGATTTGTTCATATGCCCACACACACACACACACACACACACACACACACACACAGTGCTCATGTATTGATGTCACTAATGATGATGCGATTTGTGTTTGTGCATATGACAGGTGACAGAGTGCTGGAGGTTGATGGGTCCAACCTGAGGGGTGTGACTCACCAGCAAGCTGTTGAGTGCCTGAAGAGGACTGGGGAGGTATACACACACACACAAACACATGTAACATGCACACCCAGTAAAACACGATTACTCACAAATAGTAAATGGTGGAAAAAACAACATATGTTTCTGTTCAGTTACAAAACAGGCAGTATTGTTACTTTTTAACCAGAGTCTAGGCTTCAGGTCCCGTTTTCTGTTAAGACTATTATTTCTACAACCAAGATGATAATCCTTCCCTAACCTTACTGAAGTAGTTTTAGTTAGCTAAATGTGGCTATATTATAAAAAGAAGTCATTCATAAAGGGATGAGAGATGAGACAACCCTCATATGAGTTGTTTTGGAATACACTCTTTTACATTTAGTTGCAAATACATGTTGGACTCTAAAGACCTTTGACTCTATCTAAAGTAATCTACAAAAGCTTTTGCAATTCACTCCATTCAAAATGGGTAATTAATATGCATTAAAAAGAACAGTAGCCGGTGGTACAATACGTTATTCTCACTGCCTACTATAGTGGTACATGTTGAAGTATAAACTACTGAACATACGGGATAAAGGAATGTGTGTGTGTGTGTGTGTGTATTGGTTCTCCATAGGTGGTGAACCTGCTATTGGAAAGGGAGCCCACAGTAATCTTGGAACACAGACCTGACTCACCCTGCCCCCTCTTCGTCCACAGTCCATCACACACACAGCCCCCCAGGACTGAGGTCTCCACGGAAACGACCTTGAATGATCGTGCCAAGGACTATAGCTTTGTTACTGATGGTGAGAGGGGAGAGGAAGGGGGACATACACTCACACAAGAAAAAAGTGTTCAGAGAGACAGTGTTCACACACAAACACGCACGCATTTGCACGCATGGCCCAGAGGTGACATGTGAGTCATCTGACAGCGACATTGTGGTTGCTGTCAGAGTCATCCTGGGCAGAGTGAACTGAAACCTTGAAGCTGCCTGTTCACTGCCTGAGCTTAGTTAAAGGGACAGTTCCTCATCTCTGTTAATTATTTCTTTTGTTTGTCGGCTGACCTTTTAATGTTATGTCAGCTACTGACCTCATTACTTATAAATCATTGCTTAAAACATATTTATTTGGCTTGGCTTTTAATACACAGTAGGGCCTGATGCATTCCTTTTAATTTAAATTTATTGAACGTATGTTAACTGCATGTCTGTGTTATTGTGCTGTTTTATTTTATTTTATTTTGCACTTATTTATTCTATTTTAATCATTTATTGTGATTTTATTCTGCCATGTAAAGTACTTTGGTCAGCTGGATGTTGTTTTTAAAGTGCTATATAAATAAATTAAATTTGATTTGATTTGATTTGAAATGGCTCAAAAAATTTAAGGCAAAATGTGAAAAAGGATTGTCTGCTGTTTCATATTTTGTCAACAGAGATATCTATGCAAGGATAAATACTTCTCATATGAAAATGTGTGTTGGGGGGAATTGATAACCTTTTTTTTATCATAGTGTATCGAATATGATTAACCATTACACAACTCCAAGAGGAATCTCTTCCCTTTTCTAGAAAACACACATGACGTGGTACTAAAGAAGAGCTTGTCCGGCCTTGGCTTCAGCTTTTACATCTCACAGCTGCACTCACAGCCAGACCAAGGCAGCGTGGTCCGCATCAAACGCCTGTTTCCGGGTCAGCCAGCGCTAGAAAGCGGCCTGCTGCAAGAGGGAGACATAATTCTGTCTGTCAACAAAGAGCCTGTCAAAAACCTGTCTTACCAGGTAGGTTAAACTAACAATAATAAGTAATTGTGAATGGGTCACTGAGCGTGAGTGCAGCACTAGTGGCCAGGCCCTTTCTTAAGTCTCATTAATCCTTTAATCTCATACTGCTGAAAACAGCAAGATGGTTGTGCCACTGTGTTTGATGTGTCATTCAGTTGTTTGTGTACTGCCAAGCAGTTACAGTAGCATTCACACAGATGCATTTCAACATATAACAATTAAAAAGATTTGTACATTTGGACCCTGTCCCAAGCGGTACCCACGACCTCTGTGGCCAAACATTCTTACACCAACACACACACACACTTGTTTTGGTGTTTCAGAGGGTGTTGTTCCTGTTACGTGGAGCTCCATCTGAGGTTCATCTGCTGATCTGCCGACCAGGTCCTGGGGTACTATATGATGTAAATGACAACACACTGGTGAGCCCACATGCACATAAGTGTACACAAATAAATAGCACCTGGGCAAATTAAATTTTTGTCTTTATTTTTTAGTAGAAATTTCAAACATTTATTTATGTCTTTTCAGTAAAAAAAAACAAAAACAACACTATATGGAATTTTCTGAGGGGTGCCAAAATTTGGCATACTACTTAATGTGCATACCGAACAAATCTCTAAGTTAGACCAGTCATTAAGACAATCTGTCTTATTTCTGGCTTTGTAGAATCCTGCTCCCTTCCGTGAAGTTCGATCCCGGTCTCTGGACATCCGACTAGGAGAGGACTACAGCGAGCTCCTTAAGTTTCAATATGATGTCAGCATACCTGCCCAGACACAGGTCTCCACACAAGAGGAAGATCTGCCTAACTCGGCAGAGAAGAACTCAGAATTTCCTCCACCTCCAGTGCTCCCTGAGAACCAGGAGAATCTGGACGATGAAGCACAGGTCAGCCAGACTCCCCCATCGCCTTCTCGCTCACCCCCTTCGCCCACATCACCACCATCACCAGTCTTGCCAGCATCACCTGCCTCTCCTGCCTCACCAGCCTCTGGCCCTCCACCAGCTCCACCAGAGTCGCGACCAACCGCTGGGAAACCAGAGGACCATAAGGAAGCATCAGCAAAAGATGGGGAAGAAGCGGTCATAAAAACATCAAGCTCAACTGTGATGCTCACAGATATCTGTCCTAAGACTGCTTCAAACTCTGTATATGCCAGGTAATGTATCAGACATAGACACATCTGTACTTTAAAAAATCACCTAATCTATATTACATTTCAAAGAGAAGAGAGTAGCTAAACAGGGTGCAACAATAGATTTGATTTGAGAAATACTTTAATAGGAAAACAGTATAAAGACGTGTAAGAAAATCTCTCAAGCTACTCAGCAGAATTATCTAAGCCTCCGATATCTAGATGTATGTTTAGTAGCCTACTGAATTAATATTGGTTTAGTATGATTGAAAGTATTATTTTAAGTATACTATATATAGAATGTACTGTCTGTTGATCTGCAGTGGAGTCAGAGAGGATGCAGATGGAAGTGTGACGTACTGCCTCGTGGGAAATGGACTGACTATCATGGCAGATGAAGAGTACCTGACCATCAGCTCCACCCTGGAGCCTCCTCACAGTACTCCCTTCAGTCTGGCCACTCACAAGTCAACAACCAACCTCACAGCCCTCAGCTCTCAGACCTCTAACAGCTCCTTTAGTTTCAGCTCACAGAATCCAAACCCTCACATCCCCTCTACCACCATTTCACCCCTCAGCCTCTCATCTGACACCCCAACCATGTGCTCCCTGGCCCATCCTTCACAGCCGCTCACAACACAGCCACCAAAAGCTAAGCACCATCCGATCCAGCAGGGACTTCTTCCAATACACTACAAAGCCATTTCTAAGAACAGCTGGCCTGTAGTGTCTCCACCCCAGCCTCCTGCTCCACCGCTGTCGCCAATTACAGCCCAAATCATGTCTTCTGTGCCCCCCTGTGCCAGTCCGCCTGGCCTGACACTGCCACCTACGCTGCTGCCCCTTTCTGACCAGAGCCATGCAAAGCTGAAGGAAGAACCACAAAAGAACGAACGAGAATATGAGGAGGATGATGATGATGATGACGAAGGGCTTGACGATGAGGAGAAAGAGAGTCGAAGAAAGGCAAGTTTGTGACGTCTTCTGTCCTTTAGTTGATTTTTTCAACTTTGTTAGGAAAGCTTTGTTTTAAGCATTGTTAGTGTGTCACCACACCAGGATAACCAAACAAAAAGCATTTTGGCAGTGGGTAACAGTAAAACAGATACAGACCATTGATCCCAAATTTGCTGAATGTTGACTCTTTTTAGTGGATTAAGTTTAAACATCAACGTGTGATAATGCTAATTTAAAGAACTTTTGTATCTGTTAAATGGATAATTTGTCATTGTTTCTTGCCTGTCAGGGATTGATTAAAGAATTTGAGCTGTCAGTGGTTCTGACCAAGCCCAGGAGCGGAAGCTTTGGCTTCACCATCGCTCGAAGCAAGCTGGACAAATGTTACTACATCCAGGAAATACTAGACAATCCAGCCAAGGCAGATGGACGACTCAGGGCAGGAGATAGGCTCATCATGGTACGCATACACACACATTTGCACATTGAACAACTTGTCTAGCTGACTCTGAGCAATTCCTTATCTGCCATTTGTTTGCAGGTGAATGGTCACAATGTTACCAGAGTGGCAGATGATGCTGCCATGACCATTCTCAGGTCATCTCCGAGAAGACTGAGTATGACCTTGGGGAGGGCAGTTTCCAACTTGGTGGCCCCACCTCCCTGCGACAGCCTGCCAGATATTGTTCTGCACAAGACACCTTCAGGGCAGCTTGGTGAGACACTGGACCCGTGTCACATTTTGAATGCACAATACATCAAGTTGTTCTGTCTGAATTGTATCTATGTGTGACCTTCCCAGGTATAAAGCTGACAGGAGGCATTGGCAGCAAATGGCAGGGCATCTACTGTCTGGAAGTGGTGCCAGGCTCCCCAGCCAGTGAGGAGGGCAGTGTCCGACCCAATGACAAGATTCTCTACATCTGTGGCAGGTGCACCCTGGGTATGACCCTAGAGGATGCAGTCAAAGCCTGTGAGATTGCCCCTCGTAAAGTTAAACTTAAAATCATCAGGTATGTGCCCTTACTGGCTTGAGAGCTAAAAATGAAATACGTTAGTGTGTTTGTTTTTTTGAATGACTCTACTTTTTGTGTCACAGAGAAGACCAACCAGTGACACCCAGGGCTAAGTGGAATGGTATGTGCTTCTGAAGGATTATGTGATGGTCTCACCAGCTTGAGTTAACCCAGGGAGACATAAACAGGATAGTTTCGTTGTTGTATGCACTCATAGATCACTAAGAGACCAGATATGTCTGTGTTTAACTAAACACTGATCATTTAAGTTCAATCATTACCAAAGGGTGCTAGATTTCTGGGAAGACAGGTAGTTACTTGTCTGTACATTTTTCAGATGTGACCCTGGTAGTGCAGTCCTACTTTTTTTTCTATTGTAGGTTTTTTTGACTGGAAAAAAGACAGGAAGTTCTTTGCTCGTTTTGAAGAGCCCGTCTCTGCAGAGAAAGACTCGGCTCCTGAAGATGGTACGTTTTTTCTTTGACATGCACTCTGTTCGATCAGCATTGCAGCTGGTTCCCTTTCACTTTTTTGCTTGTTGTTTTATTGTCTGTGTGAAGCCAGAGCTCAGTGCTGAAAGGCACTTGTCTCTGCAGTTGTGTGTGTGTGTGTGTGTGTGTGTGCGCACATGTGTGTGTGATCTGAATGCTGACAGACAGATAATGGGTTCTCCCAGCAGGATTAATAATTAGCAAGCCTCTGGCCCTCCACTGGTGTACTGGACTGTGAGACTGAAGGCATCGGAGAGTGGTATACAGCCAGTGGTCTATAGGGCAGGTTGCTGAGTTGCCTGGTGTTAGTGCATGCAGAATTAAGGTACAGCGGAGAGGGTCACTTAGAAAAGGCCAGTCTTATTCACCTGTGATAGCAGAGCTGCGCCCATCAACACTTCTCTTTGAAATGGCAGAAGAGGTGGGAGGTTAGTGTGTGATAGTTTTTTTTTTTTCCTGTATCTGTTTTGGAAACTCCATTGGATGGTAATGGATGCATGGAAGGAAGCCGGTACTGAAGGGACTGTTAGCATATCTTTATTTCACTTTTACATCATTGTCTGCATTGGTCACAGATTTGCTGATAACTTGTTTGTATTTTTCAGTTGAAGTTGTGTGGAGGACTACTGATAAATTCAGCCAAGAACAGGAAGTAAGTTTCTGAATCTATTACCTTTGTTTAAAAGCAAATTCTTTCATGTGTACCCCTTCATTTTTATCAACTCTCTTTTCTGTTGCTTTAACTGCACATCTTTTGAAGTGTCTGTTGAAACACACACTGTAACATGAGTCTTCTGTGTGTCAATCTGCAAATGCATTCTCTGCTGGGGGTTCACTCTCTGCATGTATGTTTCTCTGACAGGCTTTCTATACACTTGGTTTGTGTTTTGACAACATAATAGCTTTTTTTCTCCAAAGAACACAAGATTATCCTGTAAATACACAGGAAACAAACAAACAGAAACTGACACTCTTCACTTGTCGCCGGTTCCTCCAAATTCTCATTTTCTTAATCTTCTTCTCTGGTTCCTTACTTTCAGGGCTGCATCATGCAAGTGGATTTCATAAAACCAGAAGGCGGAGGTCTTGGCTTTGCTTTGTTTGGGGGATCCAATGGCAGCATGCTCAGAGTGAAAGAAATCTGCTCTGGTGGACTAGCTGAGCAGGATGGTCGGCTGAGAGTGGGAGATATTTTATTAGAGGTAATAACCCACCATAAATCTGTTTTATTATCCCTGTAGTGGGGAAATTCCTGACCATCACTGTGTATATTCTAGGTGAATGGTGTGATTGTGTCTGGCCTGAGCCACAGTAAGGTGGTGGATATTCTGCGTAAAGCTGAGGGCACTGTACAACTTATCATCTGCAGAGACATCCCCCTGACCTACTCCGAATCACCCACACCGCCCAACATGTCTGCTCTGACTGAAGCTATTTTAGCCGAGCAGCCAGTTCCTGTGTCTAGTCCTGATACCTGTTCCTCACCTGATGTCATGCTAAATAGACCAGTTGAACGCCCCCCTGGTATGTTGACTGACCTCGGTCTTTCCTGTTATTATGAATTTGTAGAAGTTGGATGTTTAGTACAGGGCCATAGGCATGAAACTTGGATCTGAGTCACAAAAATTTGGATTTGGCTTGACTGCTGTGACTTACTTGAGACTTAGCTTAAAATTAAAAGTAGAAAGTGTTTGCCTTAGTAACATCACAAAATAATAACAACAAAAAGAATACAACAGCACCAGGAAGGTTTTGCAAAGCCATGCATCCTGAATACTTCATTATTAAGATACTGAAAACAGCTATTCTGTATACTTTAAAGTAAATACTTCTGTGTTGTCATACTGCTTTCTTTCTTTCTATCTTAATGGACAACATTAGACTTGATAATTGTGTTCTTTAACCTATATTGTGTTACAATTGCTGTTTCAGAGGCAACATCAGTCCCTGTGGTTAAAGAAACCGGTGTTGTTCTAACTTCACCACCGCCTCCACCATGCCGGCTGACTGTTGTAACAGATGAGACTGCAGTTAAACAGGTAACATGCTCACTAACAAGCATACACAAGAATAGTTGTAATTTTAATGGAAATCTTTGCTGTAAATTAAATCATACCCCCTCTTACTTTGTTACTAACATCTACTAACTTACTGAATATCTTGCTCCTCCTGTCTCTCGCCTCATCTGGCTACTTGTTTGTGGAACAGGAGAGCTGTAACAGCACCCCTTCTCATCAAGCTTGCTGCCCATCCCTCAGTGTCACTGACATGTTGCATGGAGCTTCTGACAGGTAGTAACTTCCCAAACTACTCTCATCATGTACTTATTTCCTCTCCTCTTCCACCTTCTCCACCTCCTTCTCCTGCTTCTTTTGTTTTGGTCTGCTGGAGTTCCATTCTTAACCACTAGGAGGCTGCAGAGAGCGATAAGTAAAACAACACCCTGGGATAAATGCTGGTGTGGACCCCAGTGAGACAAAAAGTGCAACAGCTAGGAGTGTATAGTACTATAGCTTCAAAACAAAAAGTATGGCTGAAGTAAAAGATATATTAGCCTCTTGTTTATACTGTATTTTAGGTGGTAAAGTCACAGGGAAAGGAAGTTCAGCCTTGCCTGATTTCATCCTCTCCTACTAAAGAGTAAAAATGGTCTGTTTCACCCCTGCCCCCTGACTCCCCCAGGAAACAAACTGTGGCTGAACTTTTGGACCAGTCCTGCAAAGACATCTGGAAAACCCAGTCAGACGGCTGGAGCAGTGAGGAAGACGATGATGTATTTGATGCCGCCAATCAGGAAATGACCACACACCAAACAGGTGTATATTCCTCCTACTCTTGTGCTGATGTGTCAGAGTAAAAATCTTTATTTATAGTGAGCCATAAAAGCAACACCTGCCCCCCTCATTTCCTCTTTTGTTTGCTTAGGTCCACCCATAGTATCAGAGGAGGAACTAGCCAGTTTAGCTGTCATTAGCCCTGCTAAGACCAGTCAGTGTTCAGGCTCCAGGATCAAAGCTCTCATCCAGATTCTGCAGCATCAGTTGGACCAGCAGGAGCTGGTCAAAGAGTTCATGGTGTGTACGTTTTGTGCAATATTTGTATTTATGCATTTACTAATTTGTGTAATGTATAGTTTTAAAACTGCCTTAGCAAAAGGAAAATTCACACATTGACCAGTTAACGTGCCATTTCCCACATTGATCCTGAAATGACATTGTGATATGTCACTGTGACACACAGACACACACTTATTGTAAATACTTATCATTAAAACAGTAGTTTTGGACTATAGTTATGCACAGACATACTGTGATCCAGCTACACAATGGTATGTTTTTGCACTGTCTTTGTTATTGTGCTCATATTGTTCATTTCAGGCTCTGGAGCATCTGAAACCCTCTGACAACTGTCTGGTGGGAAAAGCTCCTGAGAACAGAGATAAGAACCGTTATAGAGACATTCTACCCTGTAAGTGTGAAACTTTAAACTTTTACTCTCTTTGGGCAGAACCCAAAATTTTACTTTCTCCATTTCTTCAAACCCATGCACTTCAGTATTGGAATTATCTATTGGTGAACTGAAGCTTGTAAAATGTGGCTACTCACACACTCACAGACTCGGCATAAATAAAGGAGAAACCATTTGTTAGCACTTTTCTTAGCCGCTGAGTTTAGGATGACACAAGGAAGGAATAGAGATATTTGTTTGGAACTCTAGAGTCATTTCTTTGTGGATAAATCATTTCCCACATTAGTAACAGTAATTCACTGGTGCCACACTTATAATTTTCTAGGAGTCAAATAAGTATGTAATGATGAGGAGTATGTCATTTGTTACCAACCTTGTAATTATCTGGAATTTATATTTATAATAAATGAGGAAGGAGCAAATACAAATATAAGCTGTATTATTATTATTATTATTATTATGAATTTTGTGGGGTAAATACTGAAAGGAAAAATGCCACAAAAGACATATGTGTGCATGTATCTTGGGGTATAATTGTTGAATTGTGGTTAACACTGATGATATTACAGAATCTGAAAATTTACTCTCTCAAACATCTAGTACAAGGGTCCTTAATGTAAACATAGATGTAAAACATTTCTTTTACAGCCTTCAGAGTGTTTTGGGATCAAAAGGGTCAGAGTTGCGATAAATGAGCATAATGAAAAATAAAGCAACCCACAGTGGAATACTACCACACCTCACCATATGCCTTGTTGCATGCAGCCTGTTACAACTGCTGCTTGTGCAAGTGGTCCAGAAAAAAGAGCCTGTTATTCACTGATCTGATCCATCTTTAAGTATTTTATTTAGAAAGCCAGATTTCCGGTCTGTGGCTTTTTCGACCTTGCAAGCATGAGGTGGGGGACCGACCCAGAAAACATTCCCAACTGCCTTCAGTCTATGACCCCTCTCATGAGCAGCAAACTTAATTTGATTTGATTTATTTATTCTTTCAAGCATGTAAAGACAGTTGATATATCAACACACATAATTTTGCACATATCCAACAAATGCTAATCCAATATCAATTTGCTTATACCTAGTACATGCTTGAATGGAGTAGGAAGAAGTCAGACTTATCCAGTCCTACCCCATGACATCATCTTACCATCATTGGTTTGCAAGCAGTATCTCTACATAGATAATTATCTTCTACACCACACAAGTATTATACTAAAAAAATTATAACAGAGTGTTAACATTCGTACATAATTACATTCTTAAATACTTATCTACTACACCACACAAGTAATATACTAACGTATTATTACAGTGTTAACATTCATACACCACACCCACAATGTTCCATCTAATTAATCATTAAGCCTGTTCTTGCATATATCTTGATTGACACATACCTTTATATTTATGTGTAAACTCATCAGCTCTATTACTATTTTTTATGTCCACACTTAAATTATTCCATAGTTTTACCCCACTTATAGAAATACAAAATCTTTTTTTGGTTGTACGTATAGCATGAATTTTTAAATTTAACTGACCCCTTAAATTGTATCCCCCTTCCCTTTCATTAAATAGTTTTTGAATTCCACCAGGTAATAAATTGCTCCTGGCTTTATACATAAACACTGCAGTCTTATATCCCACTAAATC